TTCAAATTATCACCGAAGTGCTGGGATAAGAGTTTATAGTTCAGATATAAACACTGATGTCGATTAGCGATCAAAACAGATTGAAATAAAGATTGCTTCAATGACATCGTTTCTGCCCCTCACCTCATGTGTATATGTCCGCACAGGTACACCAAACGCTCTGGCCAAACCAAAGTCAGCCAGTTTGATCTCACCCTGAGCGTTGATCAGGAGATTCTGGGGTTTGAGATCCCTGTGAAGAACCCGATGGGAATGACAGAAGGCCAGTCCCTGGAGCAACTGGAACAGGTAACTCTGATGAACAGATACACAGACAGACACGTTATTTCCCTACGTGTTTAATAGTTGTGGGCTGCATTTCCCAAAAGCATTGTAAGCCCTTAATAGTAATATGTCACACCGTATTGTTTTTTTCACACACCTACCACTCAGTGAGTGTCAAACCTGTTGTCTCACAAAAGGACCAATTGACAGGATAGATCAGGTTCTGCTTCATCATTGAAGGATCAAAGTGGTTCTTTTTTAAACTGAGGTTAGTTACCCCACATTAATATGTTTCTAGCATATCTTTGTTTGTTTCTTAAAGAGATACTCCACCGGTTTTTCATATTAAACTGTGTTAGCACATAGCTTAGCCCAGTTCATTAAATATGGGCCAAAAAGAGAAGTGACCAAACACCTCCACGTTTTCCCTATTTAAATCAAGTTGCACGAGCAGTGTAACTCGACCTAGGACGGTGACACAAAATAAAACGTTGCGCTTTTCTAAGTGTTAAATTGATAACTATAATGTATGGTGGAATACCACAGCAAGTGCTTGGGAGCACTTCGACTCGGCGTAGTAATATCGTCACTCGTGAAAAGTCCTCTCACTGCCTCTCCCCCTCCCTCCAAGGGGGTAATCCATCGACCGGGAGTTGAAGCCTCGCGGGAGCTGCCATCTTGTAGCAGAACCTCACTTGCGTTAGCATTCCCATTGACTCCCATTCATTTTGGCGTCACTTTGACAGCGAATAACTTTACATCTGAGGCGTTTGAAGACCCCATTGGTCCTTTATTTATTTCTAAAGAAACACTACAATGTGTAAATAGCTCCATTACCTTGTAGTTTATGTTATGGCCCCATAGAAGCAGTTTTAGTGAAAGTAGGCTAACGATTGCGTCATGCCCACGCGACTCTCTGTCGCACAGGAGAGAGATTACCGTATGGACAGGAGAAGAAGCTCGCACGCAATCGGGGAAACATGGAGGCAAAATGACAAAATAATTAATCAGAATACCTAGCAGAATTGTCTCCTGCTCCTAGCTCATGGACAGCTCCTACTCACACTCACCGTCTCTGCATGTTTCGGAAGGGAATGATTCAGATTTCTCATGCCACAGCACGACAGACGGGTTGCTCTCGTCACAACTACGTTGTCAAGCTCTGTTTGAGTCTGCGCGTCAGGGACGGAAATGCTAAAAAAAAAAAAAAAAAATCGCCAAAACGGGCTTCATTCGTCTCAATGGAGTTCCAATGAGATCGCTCTGTCTATTTCTTTTACTGTCTATGCCTCCCTCTCATTTCCGTCAATAGAACCAAGCCGCATTGTTGCAAATTGGCCGTTCAGGCACAGTGGTTAACGATGTCACACACATGGTGGAGTAATAACTTCTTTTCGAATTAATGCTAGATTTATGCTATGGAAATTATTTTGCTTTATTTTTCAGATTCAATCATAGGCTCGTTCTTGCGTACTTGAACACGTTCACACATGCACACACTTCAAAAACTACACTTTAAATCTCTTGACAAACTTAAAGACGTAAATGACATTTGTATGCATTCTAAATAAAAGAGACATGTTGAACTGAATGCCAGCTTGCTTATTTTGGTCAAGATAATTTATTAAGTCCACATGTCATGCAAACAAGAAACTCTGATTTTAACCCACGGGTCGAGAGCTGTCGTTCTAACCACACTTTCTGTCGTTCTAACCAACTTTGCGATGCTGTTAGCGAATGTTCGTTGGAACGATGGTTTCGGGAGACACCGACTCATTTAACTGTGCAGATAACGATGGAACTTGCGAACATAGTTGGCAAACGATGCTTTCGAATTGCTCTCTTAGTACTTTGATGTCAAACACCGATTGGCCAATGACTGTCCTTTCTGACAAAACTCATCAGACCTAGACAGATCACACTGACCTATTTTTATCCAAAATGTCAAATTTCCCTAAAGGTGACTAGCGGTTTTTGGACAAGCATGAAAGTTCTGATGTTATATAGTACAATGACCCCTTATATGTAAAAAGATCAAGTCTCTGTTTAAACTCACCTTCACGAGTGGCAAGGATATACCAGAAACAGAGGACGAGTCCATAAACCTCTTCAGGTCTTGGTGAAGAAATTCAAACACCAAATAAAGCTTATTTTCTGTGTGTATCACATCACGCAACCTGTGGGCGAGAAAACTGTAAGACTCAAGAAGCCTTTGGCCAGTTTGTTTAGAATTGTGCATTGACTACAGCATGATGTGAAACAAAGGTTATGCACGGGTTAAAATCATGAATAGGACTAAGTTTAGACATTGCTCATACTTGACTATGTTTGGGTGATTGAGCTCTTTAAGCAGAGAGATCTCACGTATGGCAGTGCTGGGAACACCTTCAGTCTCCCTGAAACCAACAAACAAACATTTCATTCAAACACATCCCTCATCTAAGACAAACATCTGTTTATATGAAGCTCACAGCCAATGAAACAGCCCTCAAAACGTACACACCATTAAATCAGTCACGAAAAAGCAATAAGGAATACAACATTTATCAATCTGGGTTAATATTAATTTCCTGTTGTACATATTAACCTTTCTAATGCATTATAAACAAACATGAATTGACAAATATTTTTTAAATAAGTCTCTTATGCTCATCAAGCCTGCATTTATTTCAAAAATGATCAATGAATCCTGAAAAAAAGTATCACAGGTTTTTAAAAAAAATATATTAATAAATCAGCATATTAGAGTTATTTCTGAATGATCATATGACACTGAAGACTCTCCATCATTATATTTGAATAAAATAGAAATATATTGTTTTAAATTGTAATAATATTTGAAAATATTACTGTTTTTTCTGTATTTTTTATTAAAATAAAGATAGGTTTGATGAGCATAAGATACATCTTTTAAAAACATTAAACGTGGCAATGTTTCCCATACTGTACATGTGTTGTAAACAAACTTCAAAGAATAAAATTACATTTATGAACCTATATAAACAACTTCTATAAGAAATGTACATTGTTTGTTCATGACACTAATGTTTACATAGTGAAACTTTGTAAAGTGTTACCATTAAGCGATTATCTGCGTGTAAACGAACATTAAAGTGTTTAACAATCCAGAATATCAGATGTGTAACAGATTTGACAGAGATGAACTGACTTTTAAAAGCACTTATTCTCGTAAATAACGGATGAGATCCGTTTATCACTCGTAAACAAAAAAACAAACATTCGCGTCACTTAGCGGTTACAGTTTGGATTGTGACTGAGTTATTTTAAATCTGAAAGGCTTCTCGCCTACATGAAACTAATGGCAACCACTTAACTTACGTGTCTAATCGTATTTTCTTCAGAGCAACGGTCTCTCCGGTGATTTTATTCTTGGCTTTATAAACCACCCCGTATGTTCCCTCTCCAATCTTCTCCACTTTCTGAAAGGACTCCATGTCAAACTCCCCCTTTTCCGGGGACACTTCCACTCTAAATCTATTTAAAACCAGAGATGTGTGGCGAGAGTACTTTCAGTTGCAAAACCGCGATCAGAAACATTAAAATCGTTTATTTGATACGTAAAAATACAGGCGACCGAAAATCATGACACAACTTAACATCAATACCGCCAATTCCCGCGTTTCAAACAACACGCCCTCGCGACAAAGCACAAATACAGGCCCCGCCCTCCGAGGAAACGTCAGCCTTCTGGCGTAAACCAATCAACTGAGTGAGCCAACAAAGGCCTCCTACGTTACGTAAAAAACGACCACACTTAAAAAACGTATGTCTTACGTCTAACCAATGAGCTGAGTGAGAAGAGTAGCGCCCCGCCCTCTTTACGGTTTACGCCGGGGATCCAAACCAGTTGAAACACTTGAAACTCGTTTTAGACTTTTATATCATAATTATGATTTAAAAAGTAGAAATTATGTCATAATAAGTAATAATTATGATATATTAAGTTGAAATTATGACACAAGCCTATGCCCTGATGTAAAAATGATGAAGTCAAAATTATGATATAAGTAGCCTAATTACTGATGACATATTTATATCATAATTATGACGTAAAAAGTCAAAATTATAAGATGAAGTCGAATTTATGGCATACCAAGTAATTATTATGATTAAAAAGTCTGAGCTAAAATGATTATTTATATGATGAAATTGTTTATTTGTGAGATTAAAAATATAATATGTCATAAATTACTCTTTATGGCTTTATTTTAACTTATCATTTCATAATTATGACTTAGCATGTCATCATTTTGGTTTGATAGATTTTGATCGATTTTGTGCGCGCACTCTTTGAGAGTCAAGTCAAATCACATAACATGATTATTACAGATTATTGTTTGCAGCTTCGTGATATTATGATTTTAGCGATATTATGAAACAAAGCAGCTCTGCAAAAGACAACAGTCAGTGTCATTATTCTGCTCAATTTAGTTCAATGCTTTATGTGTATGATTCACTGTAAAAAATAAAATAAAAAATCTAAAAATTCTGTCGTCATTTAGCCTATACTTCTTTCCACACAATGGGAGTCAAACATCAACTGTCAAACCCATATTCCTCGAAATATAACAGAAGAAAGAACTTCATACAGCTTTGGAACTTTAAGCTGAGCAAATTATGATTTCTTTGTTATTTTTGGATGAACTACACCTTTAAATAACGCCCAACATTATGCTTTGTCCCTTCTGACCGACCGGTGGCGCTGCAGGCTTGTTCTTCAACACGTTTAAACCGGAAGGAAGCAGATTTCAAAATACAAACCTCTTCAAGAAAATGGCGGAAGTCGTGGAGCTGCATAAACTCAAGGTAACAGACTACTACAAATAATTTTTTTACTTTCTACTTATTATTTCCATATGACTGTAACAGTAAGCGGTTCCTAGCTGTGCTAAGTTGAATTATGATGATTAATTAATAATAGATATAACGTTCCAATCGTTCATTCAGCACTTCTGTGAGCTTCCAGTGAGCTGACAAGCAGCGTCTTTCGTTCTTCGCCTGCGCTATAAAACACAAGTACCTGGTTACCTAAACAGCATTTTAGCTCAGTCTTTAAAACTCTTATAAAAAGTTGACTTTTACTTTGTTCCCCTTCAGTGAGATAATACACTGACTCCACTCTTGCAGTGGTTTATTTAATTAAAAATTAATAATAAATCCCAACAACAACTCACGTGCCTGTCCATCTAAAAAGTGAATTGTAACAATAGACATCATAGTCTTAAAATAAGTTAGATGCTTGCTTAAACGACTTTTTTACCATCATAGCTCACCTATACATAGTAAGCTGCTTTATTAAACCTATTTTTTGGGCGTAACTGTCAATGGTATTAAAATCTAGTGAGCTTTTGTGTGTAAACAATGACGTATTGGCCATTATAAGTACATATGGCCACATATGTTGTTTTACTGAGACAAGCACATAACACACCACCTACTGTATCACCACCTAATACATTAGGGTTACTTTTGTTTTGTTTTTTAACGTAGTTGGGATTTTTTATTTATTGGTCTTTCACTTTTTTCATTCATAAATTACAATATTAAATTAAGTGACACCATGAAAAAAATCTGTCTTTGTCTTTCTGTCCATCTGTCTCTCTCTCTCTCATTCTGCCATTCAGTGTGTCTGTCTATTTTTCTTTCTGTCAATCGTTCTTTCAAGAAATGTCACATTGTATTCAGTTTAGTTTGTTTGGACTGATCTTTATCGACGTGTCCATGTTTGTTCAGATGCCAGCTCTTTATAGACTTGACAAAGCACTGATTCTGACACCGCAGATGTGTTATTTGTGGTTGATAACTGTCACTGCAGCAGTCATTAAAATGATGTAATCTCCTCAGTTGGCTGAGCTGAAGCTAGAATGCACGGCTCGAGGGCTGGAGGCCAAAGGAAATAAAGGAGATCTGATTGCCCGGCTGCAGGCTTACCTGGAAGAGCACGGTAGGGGTTTTCTAATGCAAGATATTTTACTTCATGATCCAGTTTTTTAACAGATCTGATTACAATTATGTTCATAGATGATAAACAGATATTGAGGTGAAATTATTTATCTGTGGACATCGTTATTTGGGGCGGCAGTGGCATTTAGATGTTTTATTTTAAGGTGTAATATTGCCTATATTTATTTACATTTATTCATTTAGCTGACGCTTTTATCCAAAGCAACTTACAATTGCTATATATGTCAGAGGTCGCACGCCTCTGGAGCAACTAGGGGTTAAGTGTCAGGGACAGAGATGATGACATGCTAAGTCATAATTATGAAATGATAAGTTAAAATAAAGCCATAAAGAGTAATTTATGACATATTATATTTTTTATCTCACAAATAAACAATTTCATCATATAAGTAATCATTTTAGCTCAGACTTTTTAATATTGGTTTATAATAATTACTTAGTATGCCATAAATTCGACTTCATCTCATAATTTTGACTTTTAATGTCATAAAATGTCATAACTATTGCTCAGGGACACATTGGTGTCTCACAGTGGATTCGAACCCGGGTCTCTCACACCAAAGGCATGCGTTTTATCCACTGCGCCATCACCACCCCCGTGTAATTATTATTATTATTATTTCTACCTTTTTTCTTGATAAATGTGAATGTAAATCATAGAAGGCTGTTACTCTTTATGCTTCATTTTGCTAATATTCGAGTCTCCTTTTTGGGGAGGATAGCGATGGCATATAAAGTCACTGGACATAATTTATGAATCTCAACCCAACAGGCACCAAATTAAATAGTGAGTTGATATGCGGAAACTGCCATGATTTTCTCCTGCGGTTATTAATTTCAAACTCTGGTTATAATGCTCACATAACATTATAAATGTGTGTGTTTTTAGAAGAAGTGAATGAAGAGGAAGTTCTGGGAGTGTTTGGGGATGGCGATGGCGAGGCTGAGGTAAGATATCCTGGATGTAATTCATGGTCATGGCTTTGCGCAATATCATTACGTGAAATCTCACGGCCCACAGAGAAGGAAATGAATTGAATAAAGTCTTTATTTTTGTCGCTTGATAAACTTATGGTTGAGCAGCTATTGTCACTCGGACTATTTTATCGATGTCTTTTAATAACTTTTGGGCCGGCCAGTTTCGATCCATTAAGAAGCCTATGGAGGAGTGATCCAGCTCTCAGATTTAATCAAAAATATCTTAATTTGTGTTCTGAAGATGAACGAAAGTCTTACAGGGTTGAACAACAGGAGGGAAAGTTCCAGACGGCACAAACACAGTCATGGTGATTGATGAGCTCAACTTAACTTACTTCACATGTGTTTTAGGAGTCTTTTACCAAAGAAGAGAGCACTGACCAGAAGGAAGAGCTTAGTCCACCTGTAACGTATGTATTTAATTTTTTTTACATTTCCAATTTAAGTCATCTTCCTCAATACATCAGCACATTTTGTACTTCACAATATTTGTGTCTGGCTAACATAAGGCTAATTTTGCAATTAACCACTTAAACCTGGGCTTTTCAAAGACAGTTGGCCTCCCTTCTGACACAATGTCACACCCCATTACAATACCATGGCAAACCTAGCCTAAAATAAGTCCAATCTTCTTTAGCAATTATTTAAGCAACCAGTCAGTAATAAAATAAGTAACTATGTTCTTTTTTCTTTCATTGTTTAATTAGCATTAATGACACAGACTGCATCAGGTTTATTAGGCTGCTATCACTTTAAGACTGAATACACAGATCCAAGATACTGATGTACACGCATATCTGCTATTCTCCCAAATTTTTTAACTGTACTGAACACTAAGCCAATTATTTTTATGTGAACTAATTGTTTGTTTATTGTGTTCTTGATTTCAGGGTGGCTGAGAAAAAGCTGGTTAAGATGAACCCTCCTGCTACAGTTGGTGAGGTAATGATCATATCATTTATGGCGATTTAATTACTGGAAAGTATTAGCTCATGCAAAGATGAAAATTTCACACCTCTTTCTTACGTGGAACACCATGAAAGAGTCAATAAAGTAGTCAATGTGACCTGTGAGCTGTAATGTGAATGGTCCATTCCCAGCTGGTAGGTGTTTGGTGATCCGATTACAAGTGGGCAGTATTTAATAAATAAAAACTGAAACCACATACACGCCACCACAAATGTTTAAATATTCTCACCATACGACTGAGTTTAGACTCTACAGCAGGGTTGCCGTTCACTAAAACTAAAACAGTTACAACATTTGTTAATTCAAATAAAGCTGAAATAAAATATAAATATTAGTTGAAAAATAAATACACAATGTGAACTAAACACAAATTAGAAATGGCTATTGACTGAAATAAGTTTATATTGAAGCGGCAAAATTATTAACTTGAAATAAATTAACTAAAACAGAAATCTAAATAGCAATATTGATAAATAAGTAAAAAACTAATAAAATGACAAAAGCACAAAACAAAATTACTTTAAATTAACATGAAAACAAAAAAATAAGCTAATTTAAAGTTTTAAAGTTGCCAGCCACTGCCAGTGTTTTTGATCATTTTCACAAAAGTTTCATGGCCCCCAGAATATTTTGTTGTATGAATATCTGATATGAAATATATCAAAAGAAGGAACAGAGCCTCTGCTTAAAAAGAAAATCGTGTTTTATCAAAGACTACATTCAGATGGGATTCAGAACGATGATTAAAATACAGGAGTCGTCGATCTAGTCCATCAAAATCTTCTGTCATTAACCCTTCCTGGGTCGACATTTCATTCTGTAACATTGTTTTGATTTATATGCTGTTATATGTTGTTGATTTGTGTTATTTTATATACATATGCATATGATTACATGTATCACTTGCTTCTGCATCATCTTTGGCTGTTTTGATCAGGAGATTCTGTATTCTTCTAGAAGATGTGTAATAGCGCCCCTTACCGTATAACAGTCAAAACAAAAAGCTGGAAAGCTGGAAAATTGTCAATGGTGGGAAAAATGTAAACTTAAATAATACTACTCTGCAGCCCTTGATTCTGCCATAATACATTTGTAGTTGTCACAATACCAAAATTTACACTTTAGTCTTTGTAAAACTCTTCAAACTTTTTTTTAATCTATTTAAAAATAAAATTACAACTTGTAACCCTTGCACCCATTAAATGTTTAAATACTTGAAGTTCCCATTTCATTGGGCAAAACTTTGACTAAGACCAAGTGAAGCATCGGTTTATTTGAACTCTTCAACTATTGAAATAATGAAATCATTTAAAAATGATTAATCATTCATCAATATAAATTCAGTTTGATTCGGAAAACCATTTCAACTGGTTCACTAGTCTACTTAATATAGTCACTGCAGGCTTACTTCCTCTGGTTGTTTACATTATTGTGAGATATTTTGTGTTGAATGTGCTCTTGTTTAATCTCTTACAACTGTGTCGATTGCAGAGGCTTCAGAAGAGAGCGGAGCGCTTCAATGTCCCGCCGAGTGGGGACACCAAAAAGGCAGCGCGAGCAGCAAGGTTTGTGTTTTAACCAAGGAAAAAAAGTCTTTAAGAGAGGGTCAAAGACTGAAGAATGTGAAAATTTATTTTGTTATTTTGTTTGTAACTTTGCTGTGATCATTCATGTTATTGTGTGGCTTATATTTCTTCCATTGGCTTTACATTTGTATCTTGTAGCAATATATAAAAATAGTATACAATGTGATAAATACTACTCTTGTGGCGGCAGCACACAGTCGCACAGTGTGTAACAGCGACTGACACAGCAAGCCTGGTTAGGTTTAGCCGTTTAGTTGTGTTGGTTAAGTTTAGGGTCAGAGGACTACGCCAATGAATGTCCTCACAAAGATAGATGTACAAACCTGTGTGTGTGTGATGATTGTTTTGAAGCATCCTGAAATCTTAACTCTTTTCCTTGTTTTATTAGGTTTGGGTTGCCAGAACCTGAACCTTCCAAAGGTGAGTTGGTGTGCATCTCAAAAGTGTTCCCAACAGGGCTAATGCTACATTTCACACATTTCTAAAAAAAAAAAAAAATACTGCTGTTTTTTATTTTTTATTAAGTTATGCTCATTTTTGTTTTGTTAAAATTTTTAAAACATTGTTAAGACCATGATGAAAATAAAGTATGTGCCGCATAGTTCATCTTTTACTTCCACACATTAATTGTCCACTTTTACAAAATAGTATCTTACCATTTCCTAACAATAAGTAAAAAGTTATAACATTCAACAATCCGTCAGTTTTACCTCTGTTTATTTGGTTAATTTAAATCTTTTTATAAGAAAATTAAGTAATAAGTTTAAATAATTTAAGTAACAGTTATGAAATATAATATTTTAATGCTAATTCCTATCTTTTGTAAGTTCCAACCTGAGTAATGTTTACCTGGTGATTTTTTTTTTCCTTAGTACGATTTATTTGTGAAGCATTAATGTTGATAATGTGATAAGAAAAATATCTGAGAATAGGCCATTTATTGTAAATTTATTAAGCAATAAAACAGACTCCCAGATTAAATGAAGACTATTTACTTCAGACGGGCCCATACGTCAGTCATTTGCAGTCAGATGTCAATGGCCAATAAATAAAAATGAATGGATCTGCCCATCCAGTGATGTTGTTTTGTTTTGTTTTTTTCCCATTTAGGAACTTCAGCGAAAATAAGTGTAAGTAATTTCCTTGCAAACTTTGAAATTGGAAATAACGGACTTAAATCTGTGCAAAATCACTTTTAAACATGCCACTCTCTTTTAGGTTGACGTTGAGGTATTAAAGAAGAGAGCAGAACGTTTTGGCATGAATGTCTCCTCAGTTTCTAAAAAGGTAACCTTTTTTCATATTTTATAAACTGATCAAAAAAATCTTGGAGACAAATGAAATATAAAATATTTCTAAAATATGCTAAAATATTTTTAGATTAACATTAGAAAATAACATTATATTCTAACTGTTCATCATGTTGAACTACATAACATTGATTAGTTTTATATACATTGATTTGCTCACCTGTTTGCTCAAGTAACATGCAACACTCGCGTCTCTGTGAAGTCGAAGTTAGTCGTGGACGTGGAGCTCTCGGCATCTCGAAAGGTGTTGATCTTCGTTCTAGTCCTCTTTTTGTCTCAAAGTCTGCTTGCCATGGTCCATAATGTTTGAACTAAACCCTGCTCGGGACGCTCACGCTGTTGAGCTCGCATAACGGGCGTAACCGACCCAGTTGTCCACGTCTGTCGCCATGGTTACTATTGCAGTACGAGGTCAAACCTGGCGGAAATCGGGGGTAACATGGATATGACGTCATTGACTGGCGACTCCTCACCCCTGCTCACACGTCCCGTTTCCTTGGTTAAAAATCACAATTTTCTCACGATTTACAAAAAGTTGGAAACATTTGGGATATTGTAAGTAATCAAATAAACTAAATATATAACATTGGCTTAGTGGTTTTTGGATATTTTACTGCAAAAATCCTGCATATTGTACCTTAAAGCTTGGATAAATGCAAATCTATTAGTGTTTGCACGATACTGGATTTTCCAACTTTGATAAGATACCTTGAAAAATATAGATTTTTTTGATACTACGCCATTATATAGTTTTAACATTATTGTAATTTTAAAAATTAATATTATTTTTTTGTCCATTGTGTGCTTACTCAGTGTATTTGATTTTAAATTGAGGTAATTGTGCTGTGTGTAAGCTTCTGCACAACACAGAGAAGCTTGATTTCAAACGCTGAATACAAAAAATACAAGAGCCCAGTCCGCTTTGGGTGCAAGCATGAAACCTTTGGAAACGAGTCAAATTGTTATGGTAGTTTTTGTGTAATTTCGCAGGTTGAGGATGATGAAAAGCTTAAGAAGAGGAAGGAGAGATTCGGCATCGTCACGAGTGCAGCCTCCGCTGGAGCCGAAGATTCAGAGGTATGAGTTCTGATCAGGAGAAGCCAGACACCAGAAGTCTTAAAGGTATACTCCACTTTTTTTGGAAATAGGCTTATTTTACCACTCCCCCAGAGTTAAACAGTTGAGTTTTACCGTTTTCAAATCCATTCAGCTGATTTTCTGATATTTAGAAGAATATCAGAAACCATACAGTTTCTGGTCTCATAGACTTCCATAGTTGGAAAAAAATATACTATGGAAGTCAATGAGACCAGAAACTCTCTGGTTACTGATATTCTTCTAAATATCAGAAAATCGGCTGAATGGATTTGAAAACGGTAAAACTCAACTGTTTAACTCTGGCAGAGTGGTAAAATAAGCCTATTTCCAAAAAAAAAGTGGAGTATCCCTTTAAGAGTATCCCGGACTATTTTAACGATGTCTTTAATAACTTTTCTGGGCCGGCCAGTTTCAATTCCTCAGAAGCCTATGGAGGAGTGATCCAGCTCTCAAATTTAATCAAAATCTTAATCTGTGTCCCGAAGATGAACGAAAGTCTTACGGGGTTGAACAACATGAGGGAGAGTAAATACTGACAGTGTTTTCATTTTTGGGGGAACTAACCCTTTAAGAAATGGTGTGAAGGGTTATTTAATGAAGTTATTTTCTCTCCCAACTCTCACTTCATTGAGTGTTGTTTACACGGTTTTAAAGTGACAATGCAATGGAAATGGCAACAGATATGTTTCCGCATTGTGTTGTACACCTGAAGAAAACGGATTATCTGGTTGTTGAGTGGATTGAGATAGACCTGTGAAGCCATGTTATGATCTCGAGTTTCTCACTGTGTAACTCTTCTCCTCACCCTCTTCCCTTTCTTTCTCTTTCAGGCCAAGAAGCGGAAACGTGCTGAGCGGTTTGGAAATGTATAGACAAATGGATCTGATCTTTTTTTTTATTACTTTTTTTAAAATGAAGAGTTCTTGATTGATTTTGTGATACACATGTAATCCCTGTAGTGCTGTTTTTCTTTCTTTCTGCTCTTTACATTAAAAGTTACCCCGTTCCTTACTAGATTCTCTCTTTTATCTGTCTTGATGTGCTGGATTGAGGATTTGTATTGTTTGCCTTATGTGTTTGAGGTCTAAAGATATTAATATGCATCCTTTGGGATTATATTAGGAATGCAAAAAAAAAAAAATCATTTCACTTTTAGTGTCCTTGTTAATTACTATAATAGCACTTAATTGTATAATTAAACTGTAACAATGAAACCTTAAAAAATTAAGTGTGACCTAAAAATGTATACATCTATTTTGATACTGTTAGCTAGATCCGCACATAATGTCCGTTGGTAAACTGAAATGCCAATTACTTGTATAAAAAACCTGGGATTGTTAAACAACAAAACATTTTACACTCTTTTTTAGGGGTATTTTAAGGTAAATTGTGCCGGTCACTATGTTGAGGTCAAAATTAAAAGGGGGGTTGACTGCTTTTTTTCTTTGCATGATTGTGTTTATGGGGTGCAATATAACATGTATTCGTGGTTTTTCTTTTTTTCATACATTTCAACATTTCATTATAACGTTACACGTTTTGTCTATCAAGATAATCTTTACAAGTTAATACAAAATTTATACATTTTGAAGCCTATATTAAAGATTTTAAACACAATCAGACACAATAAAGTTTAAAAAACCACAAGCAGGTTATAACTGTGTGTTTTATGTCATAGATCAAAACGTGAAAATATTTAGAGGCTTTGTTCGCCACAGACCTTATTTCAGGCGATTTAGCAAAAACCCATTCAAAAATCCCATAGACTTTAGGGCGAGGGAACAAACCGGTAGTGCTAAAATGCTAACTCACTTCCACGTTTTGGCCTACAGAGTGACGTCGTAACTTCGGCACTCTATTCAGCGGGAAGAGTTTTCACTGCAACCGTGTTCGGCAAAGCTGTGTTCAGTGGCAAGAGTATTATCACCTATTATTTATTTTTGCCTTTGACATTCTGAGTTAACTTTATTTGAGCGCGACATCACGCTGTTAAGAGTTGTGTAAATAAAAGTGCATGAGTCCCAGTATTCGCCGACCTGTGTCTCCCTTAATCACCCACACATAACGAACCTGTTCTTACATCACAAAGTGATGATAAAATATATATACATGAAAAATACATTTATAAAATGAGTACATATACAAATTCAGATCCAAAATGTTTGTACGCGTTTAAAGTGGATCTAAAGCCAGCTAAGTGGATATAAAGCCAGCGCTGGCATTTGACAAAACTAAAACATTACATCTGAAATTATACATGCAAATACATTTAAAATGATTAAGTCTAAGCCTACTTACAGGTTGTGGCCCAACAACAACTGCCTCTGGTTTTAAAGTTGGAACTGCTTCACGTTTTAGTAACAGTTTCTTGTTGAATTCGGTGTTGAACTCGTGGAGATTCTGGAAGCTGTCTTTCGTAAATGCACAGCAAAGAGAGCTAAATTACGATCGTAATTTTCAGGAACATAATCAAACATAAATTGTATCCATTGTTGACGAAGTGGGAAGCTCGAACACAGAAGACCTGACAGCTGAGTGAACACAACACACTCGACAAGGCTCAGATATGGTCATGCCCTTTTTTGCATATTCCGGAGGGAGGGGTTGATGCAAATGTGTGGGTTAGTGACGTACCATAACCCAGCTGTAGTCCCAATCGAGTCGTTTTTGTAGGCAATTATACTTCCTGATTTTTAAAAGACGATATCTCTGCTTACACTGAACTTTCAGCGCTGCAACTTTGCAGATACTGTTCATACACCAACAGCAACATTACACACTATTTAAAATGAAAAAAGTGAAATCGCAATCAACCCCTCCTTTAACATTTACACCCCTTGCATGCTATATCAAAACAAAAAAATTCAGGGTACACTTTATTTCGATGGTCCACTTTAGATATTCCACTAACTACAAGTAACTTTGCAACTACATGTCAACTAGCAGTCCTTAAAGGGGACATATCATGCAAAATCCACTTTTTTACCCCTTAAATGCATTTTGTTGTATATTCTGAGTGTTTATAAGTACAGAAAAGATGAAATTATTCTCTTCAGGTGTATTCGTTTATATCTTTATATTCTGTTTTGGTCCTATTTTTCAACCTGTTCAGATTTTTCTGTTGTCTATGACGTTTTTTGACCTACAGCGTCACCGTATTTGCAGAGGAACTGCCAAATAAAGACATGAGCCGTTTCTCAATACCAAGTACGCAGACTTCGGACTTGCGTCCTTGGTAGTTCAGACTTGCAAGTTCGACTCCGGAGAACGAACTCCCGAGGATGCGAGGACGCAAGTCCGGTTCTTCTGCAAATGGAACAGAGCGTACTTGATCGCGTCACTCAGCATGCTCTACTATATATTTTAGGCAACAATAAAACGAAATTGGCTACAACTCTGCATCTTTTCGTCAACAATAAAACGAAATATGTTATAAAACACCCCTTTGACTCTTCATTAACAAAAAACAACATAGCCTATTAGCCATGGCCATGTGGTTCAGGCAACGCGATTCTCTTCACTGCATAATTTATAACAAAATGAACATGATCTTTTTGTTTTCATTTTAAAAATATGAAACATTGGATTTTTATTGACATTTATCAAACAGAGACAGGGTTATGTCATTTTATTTTATTGTTCATATAGTGAAGATAATATAAAAAAAAGTTGTTGAAGTTAAATAGCCATGAAACCTTAAAAACTATTTTTTTTTTTTTTTTGCGCCATGGAACAAACTATAGTTTAATGAGACCAAAGATAGACTTATACACAAGACGAATTATACGTCAAGGTTTATCCACTAGACTAGAGAGATCAGAGCCGGCGGCAAACGTCAGAAGCACTAGCCGAGGATAAGCTGTTCCAGTCGGGGTTGATATCGCTGAGTGTCCGCTGAAGGCTTGGATGTCAGAACTCCGAAAACGTCAGATGCATTTTACAGATAGGCGCTATCTTTATAAATAAACTACAGATTTGAGATTTAAACAACCACATTCTCGCCTGAAACACTCTTAAAATTACATTTCATAACTCAATAACAGTAGTATTTTGATATTTCGCGGATTTTCTCCTCTCCAGGTGTACTTGGGTTGGTGCGAGGTGCATTCTGGGTTACCTGGCTATCTCAAGTCCACACAAGTCACCTCTCTGGCCCTGTCCCAATACTCACTTGAGCCCTAAGGCCTTCCTCGAAGTGGACACTTGTTGAAAGTGCACTTAGCGGAGAAAGAGCGCAAGGGCCCGAAGCTGTGAAGAGCAGAATTGGGACAGTTTTGCACACCTCAAAAAGCTACTTTTTTTTTTTTTTAACTCTTAGCCAGCAACCTTTCTGTTAATGCTATTAATATTAAAACAGTTTTTGGCTAAGATAAAATGTGATTGAGGTTTACCTGAGTTTATACTGCCTTACCATATTCACAGAGATTCAAAATGCAATGTTAATTGTTATTATGGAAATTGATATATGAAATTCCCATACATGAAAAAAAAAAATGAAAAAAAAAAAAAAAAACATGACGTGTTGGTGATTTATTTTGACGAGCGTTCTTGTGTAGGCTGCCATCTTGTGGCGACGCCATTACTGAGCTGTTACACCGGCATAGACATATGCACCGGTATGTAAACAAACCTCGGAGATAAGGTGATAACGCACCCTCGATGACAGCTACAGCCAGGCAGACTTGTTGGGTTGATGATGTTAGACATTGGCCTCCAGTCACAGATGAAGGTACAAACGATCTTACAGATTATTTATGAAAATAGCTTGGCAAGCAAGCTAGGCTAACGTTTGCTACCGAGGAAACTAAAAAAAGATCTGTCCATTTGGCAACAATAAATAAATAAATAAATGAAATCAAATAAACAATTTCATGTTTTTCATTTGTGTGCATTATTTATCTCATTTTTACATTGCAACGGGCATGGGTAAGGTAACGTTACAGCTAGAAAGTATACATAATATCGACCAACTACTGTTTTTAAACCATGGAAAGAGGTCAATATATAACAGCAGGAGAACAATTATGTCACATAACGTTACATTCAGCTCAGGAAAGCCATTTAATGACCATATTGAATAGAAAAAATAACAAGAGAGGAGATTTTGCTGATCACTATATCACACATTTATTATATTTTTTATTATTATATTCTTATGTCATTAAATAATTGTTATTATACGCGAATGTCCGCGTCTTGTACTCGCCCAGGAAATCTGTGTAAACCGTACGGCACCAGACAGAGGCAGTCGACCCGGGGTATTCACAATGTTTTCTCTTCAAAATTGAAATTTTACTGCCACCATTGAAACAATTTATAACGGAAACTGTTTACCCACTCGACATTATACAAGGGGTAACGTTGTAACGTTAGTGACAGTCGTAAATCGCGAGCTGTTTATTCCAGTGGACGCAAGTTGCAACTTAAACAATAGAAGGCAATGGCGCAACGCTACCCAGCAACAGCTCAGTAATGGCGCCCGCTTACTTCTCATCTCTTCAGGCGGACCCATCTCTTCACCACACCGGATTCGTCTATAGGCTGTATAAAATAAAATGACACAACCTTGTCTCTTTTTATTTTATTGACCAAGAATATCCATTATTAAAGTATAAGCTTAAAAAGTATAAGTAGTATAAGTATAAGAAGCTATATACAGTAAGTCAACAAATAAGGCAAGTTAAAAGATTCAGTCAAACATACGTTTCAACGTTACAGTTAAATAGCCTAAATATAGGCTATAGTTATGAAACTTCACTTTTCCCCTCAGCCAAAACGATTTTCCAGGGAACAAATCATAGAATAATGAGACCAAAGATCGCCCGTCTGATGTACACAAGCCGATTTATAGCTCATGTTTAACCACTAGACACAGAGCCCGCGGGAAACGCAAGAATGACTAGCCGGGGCAAGGCTGTTGCAGGCGGGGTACATGAGCGCTGAGCACCCGCCGCCCTGTGACTACCTGGAACTCCGAACGTCAGATCAATTTTTTAAAATAGGCGCTATTTTTATAAATAAACCACAGATTTGAGCTTTAAACAACTATATTCTCGACTGAAAAACTCTTAAAACTACATTTCGTGACCCAATAACACAAATATTTTTGAAAAATTCTTCACCACACCGGCATCCTTTATCTTCGGAGTTTCCGCTCCCGAACAGCACCATAGCAACCGTTCTCCCCTACAAGGATTCTGGGTAATATCCCACAGCAAAGTGAGGTCTGATGCGCACTTACGAAAAGGGTGCATTAAGTGCCCTTTTGATCACCCCTGGAGAACACTATTAGAGGATTGGGACACCCTACGGTCTTGCACCCCTTAGCGAGAACGCGCATTGAGGGGCACAAGGGCGCAAGTGCGGATATTGGGACAGGGCCTCTATGCATCCTCGGTAAACGGGGCGGATCAAGAACACATCCGGGGATTTGAAGTGGACTTGGCTAGATGCGAACTTTGAATTGGAACAGTACTTCGGCAGCGACTGATGACGTTTCACAAGTTCACAAGTACAGAGTACAGACAAGTACGCGGCCCAACACTTCGAGCAATCCGCCGAGCTCAATGATGCAGAAGTTACGAGAGGGCAAGTCAAAATGTTCGGTTTTTGGATGTACGTTAGTGACCTGAAGCACTTCAAGGATTCCCACTTCAACAACCTCCGCCAGTATAAAGAAGGGTTTGCCGATTGACTTCGTCTGAATGAGGGGTCAATTCCTTTTATCTTTGGAGACGACAAACAGAGCATTTCGATAAGCTGTAAATATCGTTAATAAAAATCAAGTACTTTACTTTCTTAAAACACATGGTGGTCATGGTTTAGCAGTACCTTTGCCTTTCTTTGTTTTTGTTTTGAAGTAACGTTACACGTCTGCTATTGTTCTTGAGTTTCATCAATGGTCATTAAGCTGCTGTGTTTTCTGATGCTTTTCTAAACGTATCATATTATCAAAACAGATTGTTTGTGGTAAGATTAGACCGTAGTCATTTATCTTGTCAGTGTGCTTGTTTTAACAAGAGAAATAGTCGACTTTCACTAATAACACAAAACAGTTAACTCACATACCAATACATCCATATGAAGTGGTTGTTCTGCAGGTTCGTCGTCGTCTTTATCAACTCGCTCGCTCTGGCTCGAATATGTAACGCCGCCTTCACACTGGCAGTTGAAATCAGCTCCGGTGCGGCTGCGAAACGACCGGAAGTCATTCATTTCCTATGGAGATTCGCAGACCGCATGCGAATGGGTCCGAAACGGGTATGACCGAGTGCGGTGCGAAGAAAATCGTGTCCGTTGGTCATCCGGATGCGTTCAAAAATTTGAACTCGTGCGAAAAGCTACGGACGGTTCCTATCCGACAATTCCAGCGGAAGTTGAGCGTTGCTATGGTACTGATAAACAAACCTGAATTATTAACTTTTAATAAAATAAATAATGATTTTATAACGATAAATTGTCATGTCATTTTTTATTTTCATGACTTTCTAACGTTTATAAGGGCAGTTAATACAATTAAATTGAAGGTAGACATTGAACTGTTGACCACTATATCACATTTTTTAGCCGACCTGACATGTCAACGTCCTGAGCAACTTTCCTCACGCAGCATAACCCTCATCAGAGAGATCATACAGAACTGACAGAATCAAACTTTAATCTCTCCGCCATTTTTGTTCTACCCGCGTCCGACGCTTTTCACTGTGTAACGTTACTAGTACGACGTCCGTTGGGAACCTATTGCGTATTACGGAGCTGATTTCCACTGCCAGTGTGAAGGCGGCGTATGGCTTGATGGACAAGTCTTCTGTTGTTGACATTTTATTAACGTGTGAATAAAAATGTTCTTTGAAGGTATCTCTAATCAAACTACAATAATGGCCGAACGCGGGGAGTTGAACTGACCATGAACTCATCGACTCATCTGGAGAGTGGGCGGGGTATGACGCAACTCCTTTTTATTTAAAGGGGCCGCTTTGAAACGGGTCGCTCAAAGAGGCACATCAGAAAAGGGGTAGAAAAGGGGCTTGTGGAGCTATAATAATGAGGAATTCAGACCCAAGCATTGCGGTTATGTTTTATATAGACCACAACGGTATGATTTATATGTAAAAATGAATGATTTAAAAGCATGATATTTACCCTTTAAAGTATTAGTAGACTTTATTTCGATGCTCCCAAACAGGCATTCTACTGAATAGAAGTAACTTTTATGTAACTTTTACATAACTTTCATGTATGTCAACTAATTCTACTAACCTAAACCCTAACAGTCTGCTAATATTCTGAGTTAGTTGAAATAATTGCAAAGTTAATTATAGTTAGTAGAGTGTCTATATAAAGTGGACATCAAAGCAAAGTATAATTCAATAAGGTTTTATTTAAATATAAAGTGAACTTCAATGGCTAGTAAAAAGATTTCAAGATCAAACCCATCTGTAATTCTCCTTGTGTCATTCCTTGTTCTTCATCATTCCCTTTAATTGATGAAGACCAAGCACATTTTGTTTGTCTTTTGTATCACCGGTCATAACCCTCCATTATAGACAACAAGCCAAATCTGTTTACATTCACATTACATTCTTTTATTTGAAGATTATACTGACACGTGAACTTCTGAAATATTGTTTCTGATGTTTGTTAGAGTTAGTGACATTAAGTCTACACACATGATTTATTCAGATAAGGCAGTCATGTTATGCACATATATGTTAATAGCACCATCGTACACAATACTGAGTCACACATTTGCTGATTATTCACTACACTACAAGCATCACTCTAAATTTTACTCTTAAGAGTCCATTTAAAATTGCGACACAATCAATAACTCAAGCATTTTTTTTTTCATCTAGACGCTCTAATCTCCTTGACCCTGTGAATCTTTCTTCTCATCTCGGTTCTTTTCCTTTGTAGATTCTTTCATCACCTGAGGAATGAGCAAATGAATCAATCAGATGTTTCCCAGACAGCAACACAGCGTCGGCCCGGATCCGGCCCACATCTGGTGCGTGTGGATCCCGACACTATGTTGCTGTCTGTGTTTTTGCAAATATACATTTAACAAACAAAACAAAACTATTTAAATGTAGAGAGATGTAACATTAAACATAACTTGAGTAAAATGTGAATAATATGAAATACGGTCTCTTTTATTGTTGAACTTCATTAGAATCACTAGATCTGCAGATGGAGTGCCTCACCTCTCCATCTCGAATCTCCACAGTCTTGATCAAGACTTTCTTTCCAGCTCCAGAATCAGAAAATTGACCATAATCTGTTCAAAGACATCAAACAGCAAATATGATTCAAAGACTTATGATTTAGTAGTAGAAAGATTTTCAAAATGGTGACACTGATGAATCATGAATGTGTTTTGGAAATGGTCATGTTTTGAGTGGGGACATGGAAGCAATTGTCTTCTGAAGCTTTACATTGTGATCGTAATAGATCACATGATTTTTATTGAAAAGGAGTAGATTTTCATGAATAGTGAGCTTCTGAATTCTGGGATTTAACTCATGGATTACTTTTATGCTGCCTTTATTTGCTTTTTGAAACTTCAAAGTTGTGGTCATTACTTATAAACTGCAGTTTGTTACTAACTACAAATTACATGACATTAAAATTCAATAATCATAATTTTATTAGCATTGATGGTTCCATAAAGAACCTTTGACATCAATTCACTGTAAAAAAAGAAAAATGATATGATATGATCAATAAGTTAGGGTTAGGGACAACGTGTTCATGTGCTCATCAGTAAGCAATTTTCAACTTTTTTAATTTACACAAGTTTCAACAAATTAAAGTCAGTTCAATGTAATTTTTAAGTTGAAATTACATAAACATCCAAGTTGATTGTCCTTAGAAACATTCAAATACAATGTTTTTTACAGAGGCGAAATCAGAACTTTACACTAACAGGTTCTTTGAGGAACCAAAAATGGTTATACTATGGCATCAATATGCTGTATTATATATTCTGTATATTATTTAAGATTATTCTAACCATTGTTGTCAAGTTTCATTTATGTTTCACCCCATAAACCAATATTAAGCTTCATACTGTTATCAAACATACTATTATTTATGTTGTTCTGTCGGATTATAGTGTCGATTTCACTGAATATGATCAAAAAAATGTTGCCGATGGCAGCTTTAAGTTTTATAAGCTCAAATGCTCGCCTTGCTCTGTTCTGTGATGCGCGTTCGTGACTCTCCTGTTCAAACTCGTTCATCAAAATAAACAAATCTTTTCCCGAGTCAACTCGTTCAATTCTTCGTTGAATGAACCAAATGCCTCGAAAAAAGATTCATTCATTTTGATGAACGAGTTCGAACAGGAAAGTCGCACAGAACAGAGCAAGGCGAGCATTTGAGCTTATAAAACGTAAACTTTGGTGTGTTTTTTTTAAATGAGTGATCGTTTTGCTAGATAAGACCCTTATTGATCGTCTGGTGTCGTTTAAAGCCCTTTGAACAGTTTGCACTGAAACTGTCTTTTGGACCTTGAACCGTTTGGTCCCCATTGAAGTCCATTATATGGAGAAAATCCTGGAATGTTTTCATCAAAAACCTTAATTTCTTTTCGACTGAAGAAAGAATGACATGGATATCTTGGATGACATGGGAGTGAGTAAATTATCAGCAAAAGTTTTTTTAAAAGTGAACTACTCCTTTAAAGGCAAATTAAAATGATTTTAGGCGAAATGCCTGAAAAAGCATAAATACAGTCAATAGAAAAGATTAAATGGTTCATCACTTTCGACCAATAGGTGGCGCTGTTACCAAATTGATGTGGTATGGTCAGAGTGAGGTGGGAATGCGTGGAAAGCCGATATGGGAAAAATTGATATCATTTGGTTAGGTATTACGGCACTTTTATGATTTTTAGACAAACATGTTTTGTATCTCCAGACCAGTAGGTGGCGCTGTGCCGAAATGCAGCATGTGTCCTCAGGTCATGCTTGTGATGACATGGACCATCTTTGGTCTGAATACGATAAAGCTTTGAGGAGATACAGCCTTATGTCTATTTTTGCACGCGCTAAGTAGAATTTGTTTGCACGTTTTTTTTTAACCGGTTTGACAAATCGACTTGAATTCCATAACTTTTATCTGCATGGTCTGAAGATGATCTGGTTAAATTTTTGCGAAAATCAGAAAATTCAAAATGGCAAAAAGAATTTCATGATGAATTTAATCGTCTTTAGCAAAGGAATAAGAGGGAAAATATATTTTTTTTTTTTGACATTTTTTTTAGAAAATTTTTTGAGAGGCTCCAAATTTGCTATGATGACAGCTGAGACTGTTCTCTCTCTATGTGCCAAATTTCATAACTATCCTGCAAGCCGTTCTATGAGCTGCCAAAAGCGGAAGAAGAAGAAACTGAATAAAAATAAGAATGCCAACGAATACAATATGTGCCTACACACCTTCGGTTCTTGGCCCCTAATAAACACTCCAGGTCATTGGTTTATAAGCTGTGATAGACTCACCACCACTGAACTGTCCACCACTCATTGAAGGCATTTTCATGATAGGAACCGTAATTCTGAAAGACAAAGTGCAAAGGTCATCAGTTACCAGGAGTAAACCATGCAGAACTGTTGAAGCGTCTCACTGGCGTCACTCCTACCGGTTTTCCTCTCCCTCCAGAAGCTTCCTGTAGGTGGCGATCTCGATGTCCAGGGCCATCTTGACGTTGAGCAGATCCTGGTATTCCCGCAGATGGCGTGACATCTCCTCCTTCAGGCGCTGTATCTCCTCTTCTAGACGCCCCACACTATCTTGATAGTTTCCAGCCTCTCCAGCGAACTGCTCTTCCATTTCTCTCATCTGCCTCGACAGAGCCTCATTCTACATCACAAACACACGCAATTATGCATCTAAATAAGGGAGTCCCAAAGACTTGTATTGTTTTTATATAAAGCTAACTATAACAGGGCCGTAACCGCCATAGTCATAATTAAAAATTGCCAAAAAGTTGACAATGTCAAAATGATTGAAAGGCCAATCAGATCAAAGAAGGCGGGCCTTACTCAGTGTTGCCAAGTCCGCTTATTATAAGCGATTTTAGGCTTGTTTTTCTGTAAAGTTGCTTGCAAGTATTGGTAGTCACGGTTCGCGTTTTTTTTTTTTTTGGGCTTGTTTCTAAAGAATATTTGCTTATTTGGGCTTGTTCCCAGCTCGTTGCCAAGCATATAGTTTTTACGTTATTTAAAAATAGGAGTTTGTCTTGCCTGTTCCCTTTATCCCTTTCCCAATTCAAATAGTTTTTTTCCCCACTCACATCCTGCTTCTAATTGGCTCTGACCCAGATGGCAACGAGTTCTAGCCAATCAGAGGCTTTTTTTTTTTTTCTGGTTAAGAAAACGTCAGTGAGTGATGTTGAAATGGAAATACGTGCTAGGACCGTCGCAACTGATAGTGACTGGACTGTAGGAGAGTTTTATATAATAATTATATATTAGATATTATAGTTTAATATCGTTTAACTGTCACTCCCCCTTTTTTCGCACAGACATGAAAATCACTATTCAAACTTAAATGGTTGTAATTCAAGAATGGTCTTGTTTTAAAGAAGACATTTGCCAAATTATTTTTGAAGTGAAGTATAATGAAATTATGAAAGTGAAACGGAAAAAAAGTTATAAGTTTGAGTTTATGAAAATGAACAATGTACAAATATAATTATTTATATTTTATATAATATATATATATATATATATATATAATATTATATATATATTTTACTCTAAAACTGCAAGAAAATGTAAGCCAAAAATCTGAAGAAGTTGTTTTCCAAATTTTAGGTTGATATCTCAAAAATGAGCTTTGAGTCAGATTTTATTTGGGCGCAGTATACCAACACTAGATCTAGATGGACAGCCAAGCTTCATTACAGAAGAGAAATAAACTGTACCGTGTGCGCAGTTTTACAAACCTGCGCACAGTTTACCACGTTTATCGGTCCACGTGGATGTAAATTGACAAATCAGAGTTTAAAACTATCCGCCACGGATTGTAAAAGCGTGCACACGGTTTATTTATGTTTCTCGTCCCAAAACCTATTGTCTATGAGAAAAAGTCGCTTGTTTTGGGCTTGTTTTTACCGGCCTGGTTGCTTATTTGTCTAGTGAGATCTGGCAACACTGGCCTTACTGTTCACAGAAGACGAATGTTTTAGTTTAAACAGCGAGTATAGTTACACACAATGTCCAAAACCTGGTTACGGCCTTGAAATATAAAGACAACAGAACAAGAGTTTAGGGTTTCATGTGTACAGTGTTCTTGAGAGAGTCAATGTCGTAGTTCTGGCCCTGGATCTGCCTCCTCAGGTCATTGGCCTCTTGTTTAGCCTGTCTCATTGCCTCAGCATTACGCTTGGCTGAATCGTTCAGGTCTGCAAACTAAAAGAGAACACACATGTAGATGATCAGTATGTATTGCAGTATTGTGCTGTCATCGGTACAACACACACACTCACCTTGGACTTGTACCAGTCCTCAGACTCATGCATGTTCTTGGTGGCGATGGTCTCGTACTGAGCTCTGATGTCCCGCAGCGCTGCGGTCAGATCAGGCCGGCTGGACGTCTCCATCACCTCCATCTTCAGCTGCTGGTTCTGAACGCTCACATGCACATCCTGAATTTCCTACATGTTTTCAAAAATACAAGCAATTATTTCATTTACATTTATTTCTCTCAGGTCCTAAACAGTGACTTAGAATTACATTTTAAAGAACATTTCAGGTTCATTAAGAGAAGAAAGTAATCTATGTAGTACAGTATATACAGTGATGTGAATAAGTTTGGACACCCATGCTAAAGTTGCCTAAAAAGAGGAATAAAAAAATCATCTTTTGGATATTGATCTTAATGCCTTAATTAGAAAAATGAGGAAAACTCCAACCTTTAAGGACACCAATTTTCTTTGTGAATGAATAATGTATAATAAATAAATAAATGTGTTTCCTTAAAATACAGGGTGCATAAGTCAGGACACCCCTATGTTAAATTCCCATAGAGTCAGGAAGATTTATATTTTTAAAAGCCAGTTATTTCATGGATCCAGGATAATATGCATCCTGATAAAGTTCCCTTTGCCTTTGGAATTAAAATAGACCCACATCATCACACACCATTCACCATGCCTAGAGATTGGCATGGGGTACTTTCCATAAGATCATCTTTCAATGCAAATCAAACCAGCTATTAGGCTAACTGAAGTAAAACCATGCCAATCTCTAGGTGTGGTGAATGGTGTGTGATGATGTGGGTCTATTTTAATACCAAAGGGATTATCCTGGATCCTGGATCCATGAAATAACTGGCTTTAAAAAATAAAAATCTGCCTGACTCTATGGGAATTTAACATAGGGGTGTCCTGACTTATGCACCTTATGCAGACTGTTTCCTTATTTTAAGGAAAAACATTTATTTATTTATGATGCATTATTCATTCACAAAGAAAATTGGTGTCCTTAAAGGTTGGAGTTTTCCTCATTTTTCTAATTAAGGCATTAAGATCAATATCCAAAAGATGATTTTTTATTCCTCTTTTTAGGCAACTTTAGCATGGGTGTCAAAACTTATTCACATCACTGTAATATAGTAATCAAGAAAAAGTCGTTCCAAACCTACTTTCGTACATCTTCAAAGCACAGATATTTTAATGAAATTTGAGAGAAAAAAATAAATAAAAGTCTAAATTAAATCTGTTCCTCTTATAAAGCCACCATGTCTCTTCAGAATTATTAATAAAAGTGTTAAAGTGGTAGTTGTGCTGCTGTCAATGGAGGAACAGAAATCTCATCAAAAAGATCTTCATTTGTGTTCTGAAGATGAACGAACAGGTTTGGTCTTACATGAGGGTGAGAAATGAATGACAGAAATTTCATTTTTGGGTGAACTAACCCTTTAAAAGTAAACTCTTATAAACTAATAAGTGGGCCAATTGAGTCTCATGAAATGTTGAATAAGTATGATGATTTTAGTAGCTACTTTCTACATAAAATAGGCTTTCAATGATATTTCATCTCAATGAAATGATCCCAGAATATAAACGGTTAAAGGAGTAGTTCACTTTAAAAACAAACTTTTGTTGATAATTTACTCACCCCCATGTCATCCAAGATGTCCATGTCTTTCTTTCTTCAGTCAAAAAGAAATTAAGGTTTTTGATGAAAACATTCCAGGATTTTCTCCATATAATGGACTTCAATGGGAACCAAACGGTTCAAGGTCCAAAAGACAGTTTCAGTGCAAACTGTTCAAAGGGCTTTAAACGATTCCAGACGATGAATAAGGGTCTTATCAAGGACCCTTCAAGTCACGACTCGAAAAAAGATTTGTTAATTTTGATGAACGAGTTCGAACAGGAGAGTCACGAACGCGCATCACAGAACAGAGCAAGGCGAGCATTTGCGCTTACAAAACTTAAACTTTGTTATTTATTTTTTAAATGAGCGACCATTTCGCTAGATAAGACTCTTATTCATCGTCTGGTGTCGTTTAAAGCCCTTTGAACAGTTTGCACTGAAACTGTCTTTTGGACCTTGAACCGTTTGGTCCCCATTGAAGTCCATTATATGGAGAAAATCCTGGAATGTTTTCATCAAAAACCTTAATTTCTTTTCGACTGAAGAAAGAAAGACATGGACATCTTGGATGACATGGGGGTGAGTAAATTATCAACAAAAGTTTTTTTTAAAGTGAACTACTCCTTTAAGAATATAAACGGTTCATTTATGATCTGTTTGTCTCTCACCTCATCATGCATCTTCTTGAGGAACTCAATCTCATCCATCAGCGACTCAATCTTCCTCTCCAGTTCCAGACGGGCGAGTGTAGCACTATCCACATCCTTCATATACACACACAGTCACACTTTAGTATGGGGAACACATCGTCACTATTAACTATTTATTTTGCCTCAATAAACTCCTACTTTACTGCTTATTATTAACAGTTAGTAAGGTAGTTGTAAAGTTTAAGTATTGTGTATGATTAAGGGATTGCAGAATATGGTCATGCAGAATAAGGCATTAATATGTGCCTCATAAGTACTAATAAACAGCCAATATCCTAATGTTACGTATGCTAATAAGTAACAAGTATTGGACTCTATAATAAAGTGTTGCCATTACTTTTATATCTGTTTCTAGATATTATTAAAAATGTAAACATTAGTAGCAGCACTATTGTATATTTATTATATGATCGCAATTCATCTCCCCTTTTGAAAATTCTGTCATCATACACTCACCCTTGTGACAATCCAAAACAACAATATGATGGTCTTTCTTCAGTGACACATAAAAGTAAATGATAACAGAATTTTCTTTTTTCTTCTCTCGCGGGCGAAGCCCAAAGACATTGTGAAAGGTGTGTAGACTTTTTAAACCCACTGTATGATAATGACTGTTTTAAAATAATAAAGCTCAGAGATAGCATTCAGTGGAAGTGCATATTGTAAGATATAATTTCCATTATCGCTTTACCTTACGAAAGAGAGTCAGGTTATTTTCAGCTTCCTGTCTTTTCTGCATCTCCTCATTTAACCTGCAAACAAATAAGAGAAAATAGAAGTCCACTTCAATAATGATAATAAAAACCTTTTCCTTTTGGGAGCAACAGAACACCAACTTATACATTAGTGTGCAGTTAGATTCACACACTTTTATAAAAAAAAAACTTGGCATTTAAGGGATCCACAGCAGAACCGGAAGACAATACAATGCTGAATAAAGCAAGTTTTTGTTATTTTTAGACCAAAATGTATTTTCGATGCTTCAAAGCATTGTAACTAACCCAATGATGTCACATGACTACTTTGATGATGTCTTTATTTCCTTTCTGGACAAGGACAGTATACCGTACATACATTTACAATGGAGGGACAGAAAGCTCTCGGACTAAATCTAAAATATCTTAAAGTGTGTACTGAAGGTCTGACGGGCTTGGGACGACATGAGGGGGAGTCATTAATGACATCATTTTCATTTGGGTGAACTAACCCTTTAATCTTGTAATCTATCTATTATTTGATATTGTGTTGGGTGAGTATTTGTGTTTTGTGATATTCTCTGAAGTCTTTAGCTATGCATTAATATTTCTGACTAATGACGCTTTTCCACTGCATCGTACGGTACGGCTCACAGGAAAACCTCGGTCGAGTTTCACGCGAGCCGTGTCGATGCTAAAATGTGACACTGCAGGTCACTGATTGGACAGAGATGTCGGATATGCGAAGATGTCATAGAGTGGTACAGGTATGACATCACTTTGTAGGCCAAAACGCGGAAGCGAATTGCATTATAGCACTTTCGGTTCCATCGTCAATGGGTTTTTTGAATGGCTGAAATAAGCTCTGTGGTGATCACGTTTTATTCTACGACATAACATACATAAATTTAACCCCACTCATGATTTTTTTTAAGCTGTTGCGTGTCTTTAAAAAATGTGGTTGCTAACAAGTGGCTAAATGCTCTAATCCGCTTTACAGACTTTTTATGCTTTAATTGTGCTCTTATAAAGTATTCTAACTCAAACGTTCTGAGAACGTTTTTAGATTAGTGAAGCTTAGTGATGATGACGTTGAAGTCGTGGGAACGTGCTGTGGTTCGTTTATAGCCTACCTTTAGCTTTTTACTTCTGGCGAATGCATTTAGGAAAATTCATAAAAGTTGTGTTCATCTGTGATAATTATCTTGATCAACAAAACGTGCAAGTATCATAAACGTTTGTTGATCACAGAGCTTTTTTTTTTAAGCAATAATCCAAAATCCTATGGAAACATCCTATTGTGTTTTTGTCAAGGGAACCAGCGTGATGCTAATTGCCCCCATGATGAGACTAAAGAAACCGTCCTTGAAGACTATATGCCTGAAGTGGAGGTCGTAATATAAATATAAAATCTAAGCTGGCAGACACTCAGAGAACCGATAAACTGATTAGCTTAAAAGCATCTGAGATTACATTAGTACCGGCTGGGAGAAATGTTCTTATGGCAAATTTAATAAGCGAATCATTTTACAGTCCAAACACGTAGAGGCAGTCCTACTACTGCTGTATCCATTTCATAATATATTACTACTACCAATCTAAAATACTCTTTCTTGCGTTCCTCTCACGTTCCAGAGTGTGTTTAACTGTCCCAGTCGTGTTTGAGGCATAGAGGAGATCAAGCCTTTGCTTGCTTTTGGCTTGCTTAGTTGGGAACATTTAATATTCAACAATATCATTAATCTGCCTTCATTGACACCATTATATGAGAAGTGAACTGAGGTGGACGATGACATCACGGACATCACGGGCAACTGTATAGATAGATGAACTAAATTAATAATGTTTTACCACAAAATATAATCATCACTGAACTTACTTAAGCAGGACTGTGACACTATTTTCTTGTAGATCTGCTGTATAGCCAAAACAAACTTTGCATTATTCTCCTGTTATCACTGTAATGCCTGGTTCAGATTACACGATTTTAGCCCGATTTTGTCACGATCCGTTTGACGTAGGGTGTCGTGGGGATTCGTAAACGTCAACGGGCGTCGGGACGCAAGATTCGATCGTATCATCTCGTATAGTGTGTCATAGTGGGCGACAACCGGTCTGCGATGCTTCACGACATCACGACAAAAAGACTAGCATGTTTATTTTTTTTTATAACGGTCGTCCAGGACGGTGCCGTCACATGTATGAGGTCGACCAATAGGAGCACAGAAGCTTTTCCGTACACAACTTTCCAAAATGGCGAAGCAAAAGAGAGACGATGGTGCTAACGTTAAAACTAAAAGTAAAAATATATCAGAAAACAATATTTTACCTCAAGTTCTCTTTGGAGGATTGACAGCCCACACTGTCCTCTTCGAGCAATCCAGGAACGTGTCCATTGTCGGGTTTTCTTGCTTTTTTGACTTTTTTCTGAACACAGGACAGCCACACTCACCGCTTCATCCATTGTTTGTTTATGTTTGTTTCCGGAAGTCACTCGCTACTAGTTTCGCTTCTCGATGACATCACACGCACTGTTAAAGATGGCATGCAATGACTGGTCAGGAAGCAACGTGTAGTCTGACATGTGTCTCGTCCACGACACGACAAGATTTTAGGAGTCAAAATCGTGTAATCTGACACAGTGACTATCGTAACAGACAAAAAAAATTGTGTAATCTGAACCATAAAGCTGCTTTGAAACAATCTGTATTGTAAAAAGAACTATATAAATAAAGGTGACTTTGAATTGACTCTCCAGCGAACAAGGCAGTTACATTGAATCTGTTATTCGTCTGTGTTCCTGTATTTCTTCCTACCCAACTGTCAATAAACCCTGCTATTGAAATAATCTTCAGAGAATCGATGGGTCTGTGACAGAAGGCCACACCGACATCATTACAGGGACATCCACTTCACTGATGCTACTGAGGAACTGGTTGAACGAGCTCTGCCTTCGTCAACACCCAAATGCACACGCCACTCTCCAGAACCAGAAGAGGATCCTTTGCACTTTCCTGTTAACCCCTTTTCTGTACTGCGGAGCATCTTCCAGTAGGTCCATTCATACTCTCCTTGTAATACACACCCTTGTGTGTTAAACTCACAGTGGCCAGTGCCTACATTACAGTACCTCTCATAGGTATGGCTCTCCTTGACTTCAGGTCCGGCAAAGGCTGCGGGAACATCGTCTGTTCCTCAAAATGGAGAAGTGGGAGTTTCAGCAGACTTTGATCCATTTTCTCTGCTATAATATCAGTCCTGGGGGGTACAAATGTACAACGCGTTCTCATCCTAGGGCGTCATATAGTAACGCTTTTGAAATTTCGTCTAAATCCAACATGCATGGCACCCTTTAGCGCCAATATAACACGCACAGAGTATGGGTAGGTTTAGGTCTGGAGTAGGGTTAGTGTTAGACCACTAGGAGGCCATATATATCTGCGACCAAAAGGGTGCCATGTGCGTTGGATGTAGACGAAATGTCAAACGCGTCAGTATATGAAGCCTTGGGATGAGAACGGGCTGAAATGTACCAGAGGAATGTGTAAGCTTTATAATTTCCTTCCACCATAACAGAGCTCCACTCGCCTCCCTCCTGCATGCAAAACCCAAGTCTCTGTCCTGGAAAACCCAAGCCTCGTCTGACTTTAAACAGTAAAGGATACCTTCACCAGTGCATCCCGATTTTCCCATTCATCATAAGAGTCGATGCCTCTTCCTCAGGTGTTAAGCCCTATTCGCAAGGGATATCTCCTTGTAAAACTAACAGAAGTGGGGGAGCAACTCGATTTACGCACCGCTGTTGCCTCCTGATATCACGTGCAAATACACATATAACCTATATATAAAACAGTTAGGTCCAATTGAACAATATTACGTATTAATTCAATTCAGATTGGATTATGTTGGTAATATTCCTATTACGTAACGCTTCGTGCCTCTGACAAGTCCTTTAGTCTTTCTTTTTGGTCTGAATGGTATGAGGAAAACATTTGAGACTCATTGCACGAGTTTAGCCACGAGTTTGGCTCGCCGACAGGTTGAGAAATCGCCGACAAATGCCCGAAATCACAGGCAAATCAGTGCTCGTTCACACGAGTCACGAGTGACAATCACACAGTGTGAATGAGCAAAGACGTGATGAGAGAATCGCCAACGAGTCGCCGACGCCCGTGAGATATTTGGCATGCTAAATATATTGACCTGTCGGCGATTCAAAATCCTGCTGTGTGAAAAGTGTTCTGACTGAAAACTACATCGGTGATTACCGACAGCCAATGAGAGAGCAAAATCTCTCATTCGGGGAGGAGTTATAGATCACATATCAACAAGCATGGCATTGTTTCAGAAAAAGGCTTC